CAGACCGATGGTCAAACCGAGCGCGTAAATCGCGTTGTTGAAGATATCCTCCGCAGTATTTGTGCTGAAACGACTTAGCGTTGGAGCTCTATGCTCCCTGTAGTTGAGTTTGCACTCAATAACTCCGTGCACGCCTCTACCGGCTACACTCCGTTGTATGTGAATGGCCTCACACACCCACACGTTCCGTTAACGCTACCACCGAGTGGTTCAGGGCTTGGTGGGGGAGAGGTTGCCGATCGGCTTGCTGATGTCATCCCTAACACTGTTAAAAAACAGGTGAATACGTTTCTCGCAACGCGACTAAATGTCTTACGACATGTGCAAGACGCAACGGCTGATAGCCAAGACAAACAAAAAGAATATGCGGATGCTAAAGGCAGAAGTTTTATTGATGATTATGAGGTCGGAGACCAAGTATTACTTAATGCTAAAAACCTGCCTACCAATGTAGTGTCTGCTGTCTTTAAGACGAAGTTGCGTCCGCGCTTTATAGGACCCTTTACGGTCATTGCCAAGAAAGGCATAGCGTATACGCTTAATTTTGCCGCGCAAACTGCGTACACATCCCGTGTTCTACGTCGGCATGCTGAAACCATATCGGTATCCGTCACAAATAGACGCTAAGGCGCTCGTGCCGAGTTTATCGGCATTGCCGCGGGACGGATCATCTGAACCAACAGGTCAAGCTGACCCTGCACTCGGGTTCGGCTCTCTTCCAGCGACTCAAGACGGGAGTTCATCGACTGCATATCATCACGGAGAGACCGCACCTCTTGAAGAAGCTCGATATGAGCTTGTGCCGGTACACCGGCCTCCTCCAACTTTGCTTGATGGACAGGGGAATCTGCATTTCCATGTTGAACGTCTGCTGCAGAAACGTCGCCGCCATGGTCAAAACCAGTATCTGGTGAAGTGGTGGGAATATCCCGAGTCGTGGAACTCATGGGAGTCCGAGGTTCCCCTTCGTCAGGATTGCCCATACGCCGTGGACGTTTTTGAGCGTCGTGCGCAGGGCCAACCTGTTGGCGATGACGCTTCTCACCAGAAGTGGTGGGGGTAGGCGGGTAGCGGCCTCGGCCTGTCGTGAGCTCGCGGCTACAGGTGTAGCCGAAACATTGGGGTGCTGTGTAGCAGACGCATAATGCGTTCATTGGGATTTCAATTTTCCTCGGGCCTTTAATTTAGCGTAATCGTAACGCATTTTCCGTTCGAGTCGAACATCTGCCGCATCGGCACTTGCCCGTAGGACCTACATGCTGCTTAAACGTCGCGCATAATACGCCCAGCGTCTAAAAGACATGTCTTCTTCTTCCTCGGTTTCCCCTGCGAACAGAAGGATGGGAACACCCTTTATAGGAGGAACTGGCGCACCGCGCACTTGCCTGTTGAGGAGTGCCAAGTATTGGATTTGCATAGTGATATGAGGTTCCAGATACCGTTGTCGAAGAGCCGTTCGCGTAGCAACATCCTCGGGTGAAATGGCCTCAGGCCCAATGGCCCAGCATGAAAGGGATTGTCGAGATGCCTCCTTTAGGCGTTCCTCCACCGTAGGTGGTTTGAACCTGTACTGTCGATGGTCCTAAAGTCTCGCCATATTCTTCGTCCGGCGCTTGAAACCTTTCTTTTTGGTCGATGGTCTGCTCTTGCTGCTCGTCAAGTGGGTTAGTAAACGTTGCTGTTGACGATACGTCAGGCGGGTAACGTAACGCTGTTAGCGCATCTGCAGCACTACGTTCAGGGAACGGATTCGGTGCATGACTAGTGTCATCTTCACCCGTGAGGGTGGTTAAAGGGGACCCATCGGTTCCCACAAAGACGGTGTCACTTTCGTAATCAACCGCTTCGTCAAGTTCGCCTTCAATGAGGTCCCGAAGAGTCTGTGACTCACTGCCAGGAGGCGTCATGTTAGGTGCCGTGAACAAATCGTGAGGTTTTAAACGTTCGCTAAAGCACTACCTCTAAGAGGAAAGATGTCGAATGACATTCTGTGGGAACGTGAGTCTGGTGGGGGAGGGTGTAACGGGGATACACGACGGTTGTAGCGTCTTTCCGAGAGTTTACGGTTGAACTCCCCTTGTATTGCATATAATGCATTTTGATACTTCTCTTTAGAGAGGTATTAAGTATAAGCGTTAAAGATACGGTATTCGGTAATACCGTATCTTATCGATTGGGATTCGATAAATCACTAACGCTGTATTAAGTACATCATACACAGATGTTTAGACGATAAGTCGTCCAATAGCAAAGTCTGCATATAATAATTACTATTATAGTAATTAATCTAGTGTAGTGTACTTAGAGTAGGACTATTCATAAAATCTTAAAGCATAAATAAAATCAGTTCTCCTTTTGAGTTTAAGATCGCAAGTCGTTCTGACTTGTTCTCTTGTGCACTTCGTGCGTTGGTTCTCTGAACCTCTAAGCTTCTAGCTTGTTCTTGCACTCTGTGCGTTGGTTCGCTGAACCTTAAGCTTATTGCTTGCTGACTAAAAGTCTCTTTCCTAGTTCCTTAGAACAGGGTGACTTTAAGTCGTTTAATTAGTTCCTTAGAACTAAGTGGCTTGTAGCCTGAACTCTATTTAGTTCTCTAGAACTAAGAGGCTTTCAGCCTAAAGTCTTCCTCTGGCTAAAGAGCTGTGCAGCTCCGCTACAGGGTTGCTGAAACCAATCCGATCTCGCGTATGATGAGGAGACGCTAAAAATGAGGGCACGTTTGACATGATTTATATGTGATTTACATGTTGATCGTGTAGTAGGCAGATTAAGCTACGATAAATGGAATTCTTTCAAAATTCTCTCTTCCGCATAAATCGTTCAGTCTCACTTAAGTGCAGACTTTCTTCGACTTTCAAGTTTCTCTATCCTTCGCTCCGTTTTGCTTCTCGTGCTCATTTTATAAAATGCTCGTATCGTTAGCGAAAGAAAGTCTCGTCGGGTGATGAGCCGGTGGGCCACAGCCGAAGCGATGACACAAAGCCAACGAGTTTATAATTTATGTACTAAACACATTGCTCCACGCAACATATGTTATGTAGACCACGCATTCCTGGCACAAGTAACCAGCCGAAACTTCGACGCTGCATCTTCAATATCGTCGACTTTCGACAGCTACTGCTTGGGAGGCCATTACTAGCGAGGTAGAATTTGCATCGACAAGTATCATAGTTAAGCGTTCCCAGGGAATGGATTCTCAGAGTCTGAGAATACTGAGACTAAATGATACCAATATTCGGTTTAATCATGCTAAGTACGATCATGTCAAACGTATACTTAAGCAATCTGACTCTTTTCTCAAACAAATTATTTCAGACCATGGAGCGTCTATCGGTTCGTTTCCAGCAAGAGCAGAGCAATCGCGGGTCCATCATATCTGTGCACGATACCCGCCGTAGTTCCAGCAGCAGCCTCAGTGTCTCGGCTTGTAGCATCAGCAGTAGAGTGAGCCACTGCCCAGCGCCGTTGACGCAGCCGTCGTCTCATAGTGTTGACCAATTTTGCGAGGACTATGAGGTTATTTTGAAGTCATAGAATAGGATTGATCCTAAAAGCCGACAGATGGTATTGACATTTGTATACATTTGTTGCTGGTCAGGTCGTGTTTAGAGAGGATAAATTGGGGTTGACTTTAAAAAGTCATGAGCAGATAGACCCTTTAGGCTACAGGATTCCAGTAACCATTGTCAAGTCCACGATCTTCAGTGTCGGACAAGTGTCACACCAGATTCGAGTACGTGCTCTTTTTTGATTTATTTGACTTGATTAAGCGGACATATAACCGCGTGTTCCTGTCTCTCGATGGACGTTTTGCAGGAAGGAGACGTGCTGTTATCGGTGAATGGAGAAAGTATTACAAATTTGGAATTTCAGGACGTTCTGCGGATTCTTAAGATCGCGTCCCGGCCGATTCGTCTGCGATTCCGCACCAGATTTACACTGCGACGAGCGTGGTCGATGTCAGGCAATGAGCAGCAGGACGTTGGTTTGAGACGGTCGAGTGTGGAGAGTGTTGACAGCGATTTGCGTGTGCCCATTGCAGCCGGAGCTTTCTTGTTTCCCGAACATCCCGGGTTGGAAGAGAACCGGGACGACTCGGACAGCCAGGGCAGCCAGGACGCCGTCATGTCCGAAAGCTTTGGCGACGCTGATAGTGCGCGATCTACGGAGAATAGTTCGGTAATTACAGAGCTTACAGACATAGAGTTAACGTCAGGTCGGCAGTCGTCGCGGCTGGCTGCATTTCTTCGCAAACCTTTTCGTCGTGGCGATGGGTTTGATAGCGCTCGGTGGGAACTACGATTGGGCATTGTCCCGGCCGCCCCGCGTACAGAGATCTCTCTCGAGTCGCCTATTAAGGTACGGTATTGAGTGAGTGATTATTTCTTCTATCCTCGTTCAGTCTGTGAGAATAATCTAACGACTTTGTTTATAGGCTGCAATTCATGTGAGCTGGCGTGTACACGCGAAAGCGGTATCGTATCACTTGCAATTTTCTCGAGATTGGACAATGAAGGTTTGGAAGAATTGGTCAGGACGACCTCGACGAGCAAGTGACAACGAGCGCGAACTGGTTACGACGATCTTTGGCCTCGACTACTCGAAGAGCTACGTGGTTCGTGTCCGCTATGAGTTCAGTGGTGGTCACAGCCCCAGTGAGTGGAGCGTAGCAAGTACGCCCCTTACAACAATCAGTCATGTCGACGCCATGCACCATCGAATCGCACAGCCAAGAGCACAACGTGGATAAACAAGTTGGTCTCTAAATTTAATGTTGTCCATTATTGTTAGGCCGTTCTCTGGCACTTCAATCTGAAATTGTAGCAGATGAGACTTATTTGAGTAAACTCCCTGTCAAAATGAATATTACGATATTATGGAGACCACTAGTGACCAAATATGGAAATATGAGCCCATTTTTATACCCAAATTTCATCCTGTTTCGTTTCATAAAGCCAGCTTCATTATTGTATTACCGACGTATTTATTAGCTCTGGACGATGCTCGAGGGTCCATTAAAATCGTGGATTATATCCTTTTTAGGTCAATATGTAGAGAGTCAGACAATGAACGTGTCCACCAAACTCTGGCAGTCGTCTGAGCGTCTTAAACTCGAGAATTTGACGCTTAAGGCCAGCGTCGTGCCCAATTGGTTACCATTTCGACTCAAGACGGGCTTTGTGGGTCTATTTGAAGCCGATTTGCCCATTTCTGCAATTTTTGGCAGTGCTTCGGCCAAGATCAAGTTCCAGGACGTTCTATTGGTTCTAGAACCTCTTAAACACGATGAAAAAGAGCTGCAGGATGAGATTTTGTTCTTAGTAGGGCAGAAGATGTACAGGCTTGAACAGGACTTACAGGATCGATGGACGGGACCACAAGTATTAGAATCTGCGGTGCCTCATGAGAGTGAAGGGTATTTTGGTACCGACGGCTGGATAGGACGCACTTTGACGAAACTTATTGACAATTTGCAGGTCGACATTAGGAACCTACACATTCGTGTGGAAGGAGTCTGGTCCCCGTCTGAACCGATGAAGGATCCGGTAACTTCCAGAGCTAGTAACAAGGAGAGAGAGGGCGTCAAATTTGCAGTTGGAATCACGCTCGGAGCACTTTCAGCCGTCACAATGCCGAGCAATTGGAGAGTTGAAGGGTTTGACGACCAGAAGAACGACAAGTCGCAGGAAAATAATCACTTGGTATTCAAGTTGATTAATGCTATTGATCTGTCAGTGTATGTAGACCCGAACGCACTGCATTTTATTCACTCGAAGATACACCCGAAGGTGTTGCAGTCAGCGTTGTCACGGTTAAAAGCGATGGGATCGAGAGTAGCCAAGGCAGATTGGTGGAATGCCGAAGAGAGTGTACATGCACATAGGTTCTTGGTGGCACCGATCAATGTGACTCTTAAGTTGACAATGAATACTGCAGCAAAACATGCGCATACCGATGACCCGCGGTATGACGCGGTGTTTCATTTGTCGAGGATATGGGTGACATTGGATGAAGAGCAGTTGTCGGTGGTAAATCTGGTCATGGACACGTTCTCTGGTCACGAGAAGTGGCAGCTTATGGTAGCAGAACAGGTTAAAACGTCAGAGCAACATACAGCAAATAGTGAGGCCACAATGACGGAACTGGCGAAAAATTATTTATTGGTTTGGAACCAGATAATGGCTATGAAAACTGAAGGAATGGATGAATTGAGGAAGAGCGAGGCATGGGATAACGCGACAAGGATAGAACAACAACTACCGTATGAAGTGGTAGTAGCTATCCGGAACCGTCTTGGGCTGGAATTTGCTGAAGGAAAGACAGTGTCATACCCCGATATGCTCTATGGAAGTATGAACGCAGCTGGAATTCCTCTTCCAGAGATAAATGTATCATTTCCCGAAGGCCCAACGGGCCTTTTATTTGACCTACTGCCGTCGGGTGATGTGGCAATTAAGCGGTGTGTAGAGAAAAGTCCTGCTGCGGCTATAGACAATCTGAAGCCAGGGCTCTTGCTGATAAAAGTGGACGACAAACCGGTACGATCGGTGTTCAGGTTTAAATCAGAGCTGGATTTGGAGCTTGCTATTGACGTCATGCCAGGAACAAAGGTATTGACGTTTCGGTATCCCTCCGTGGTGCCTCCCGAAGTCACATCACCTCGTACAGTCGCTACAGTCGCCCAAGTTTCTTTCACTTCTGATCAGCTCAAATTCTGCCTCGTACGAGCTTTTCAGAAGCAGGTTATTGCGGAAGTTGTGTTGGACAACCTTGCGATATCGATCGCTGGGTACGGCCCTAGCTTATTCTTGTACCACTTTTACGAAGTCATGGTCAAGAGCTTTTACGTGCAAAGCATGTCGCGAGAGGAAGACGAAGGTAATCATTGCATTGCTTCAAGCATATGCAAACCCGTGGATGTTTTTGGTGATGGAGATGCTCACAGCCCAGCCTTCCTATTCAGCATGGATAATTTTTATGAGGCGCATCCAGACGCCTGCCCTGACAGGGTGGATACTTTTGGGTCAAAGATCTCGGTGGCAATTGGTAACTCCATTGTGGTTATTGATGAAGCAAAGACGACGGTATTACTTGGCGAATGGCACGACTGGCTTGGTGCAATCTCAAACGACTACTCCAATGGTACTTTGCCTTCATCAAGCGCTCCTCGGATAGAGATTGATTTGGGTACAGTGCCTTTGTCATGGAGCTCTCAAGTGTCATCATATGCATCGACGAGCCCTTCTAAGGCTACAGAAGTCAGCAGCTACTCGTATGAAGTCAAAGTTGAACTATTGCGAGTATTTATCAGCGCCCACGAAACGCCTATTGCGCCTGCTAAAATTTCCTACGAGCCTTCGTATCGTGCTCTACTGAAGCAACTTATCGGCGATGAACCAAGCGGACCGCCACCTATTCCAGATTGGATCAGAGCGGCGCATGCAATTGTCGTGATGCAACGTTTCATTCGAGGAGCTATCGTACGCAAACGTAAGATGGTTCGCTTAGCGCTAGCTAGAAATCGATGGATGTTTTGCCAAGATAACGAGAAAATGGGCTGGCTGTATACCCGAGTTGATTCCCTCGCATTTCGACGTTGGCGTCGCTCGTGGTGCCACCTCGATGCTAACGGCAACTTCTCGATTTACAGTAACGGTTCAGGCGCCGAGACGCTCGATGTGTTTAGCCTAATGGGTTGCAAGGTTATCATGCTACCCTACACTTCTGGAGGACCGTGGGGCTCACAGCGTGACAAACTGTCTCAAGTTCTTGAAATTACGACCCGATTTGGTGCTCTTCGCAAGGTAATTAGCGCTGATAATCTGGTGGAATTGAAGAAGTGGAAGCACTGTATTGAAAGCATGGCCAAAAACGCAACAAAACGATTAATTAGTGAGGATGTGGAGGCAGAAGAAGTTGTGTACGAATCAGGAGTGGAAGGGCCTGTTGGAAATAACACTGCAAAAAACGAACAGTGGAATGGATTAAAATTGGACGAGCTCTTGCTAGGAGGCTTTTCAAGCATCTACCGCGCAGCTGCAACTCTGAAAAAAGAGCAGACGTCCTGGTTTTCTTTGAGTGTAGCCGGCGTGAATTTCGCTGTGGATGTGCACAGTGTATCCGAGCCGGACCACTCTGCATTTGCGTTATATTTAGGCTTGAAGGATTTCACCGCATTGGACCATCGCCAGTCATCCAATTACGGTTTTTTGCACGTCGGCGACAAGTTTTTGAGCCTGAAAAATGGCAATTTGACTCCCGGTAAGATACGAGCGGACCACTTGAATAGTGGACTCTTTCTTGTGCTGCATATGTCCTATCGGGGAGCACGCGCTGAATCAAATTGTTTCGTACGCCAAAGCGGGCTTCACGCAGAGCTTACAGTATCCGGTTGGGTGATGCCATTTACTTTGATGCAGGTCTTTTTCGATATAATGGACGTCCTTAATGTGCTCTGGGCTGCTGACACAGACACTACAGATAGTGGAGTCGATTGTACATATGCACCCGAGCAGGTGAGTTTTGCTCCTTGGAAAGAAGTGCCTGAGCTTGGAATCCAGATTCGTGCTCCAATTTTGGAGGCCTATCTTGAGGATTCTCATTGTGTAGCAAAGCTGACGATCGAGGACAGCTCATGTTCGTACCGCGCTGATGCAAGAGTGGAAAATTTCAAGCTGCATCTTGGTCCCACTGCGCTATTTGTGCTAACCGAAGATGTTGCGCTTCGACTGGTTCAAGTGGACAGATTCTGGCTGAGCTATGATCTCAGACTGCATCTTCAGATGGCATTTAGTGCTGGTAGTTGTGCCTTGTGTGCTGATGAGTCGGCAAAGAGGCCAGTGTGTCATCGCTCCATCAACATTTCGATTGGTCAGGTGAAACTTGAGGCCGACCGAAGGTTGGAGCTACTTTTTGCGTTACTGGAGGCACTAACAATCATACCAGACGATACAAAAGGTAAGTCAGAATTTGATAGCGCTAGCGAAGAAAAACCATGACGAACAGTGACCGAGGAGATTTCAGTAGGAGGGATTACGATGTGAACTTTGTTGGAGGTGAACCATTTTCTAAAACGGAGCGACTACCCTCAATGGACTTTAACTTTCAAGATCAAGAATTGCTTGATCTACGGCCAATGTACGCAACTGGTTTTAGTCGCCCGCATGCGTCTCCATCAGGACGTAGCCGAATGTCCACTGCGACCTCAGCTGGGTTAAACCTCGAGATGCAAGACGATAGCCAAGAGCGGTCCAAGCGTCGAAAAAAAGTGTCTGCGTTTATTCCATTACTGAACTACCAGCTACTAGTTGGTATTTCCAATGGACCATTGGAGCGGCAAGGCTCCCCCAAAACTCTTTTTCGAACTCGACTCCGAATGGGAAGGATCCATGACCGCATATCCATCACATGCTCCTCGGTGGTATTCGAGGTGATTAAAAGGAGTTTATCCGTCGTATCATTGGACACCTATATTCCAGTGATGAACTTTTCCATGAGTGATATGAAGATGCAGTGCGTGACACGAACTGAATTTTCAACGGATTACGTTGTGGATGCTAGCGTAGAAATATTTGCGCGATATTACAACACATCTTTAGCGGACTGGGAGCCTTTCGTCGAACCTTGGCGAGCTTACGCAAAAGCGAGAAGTGATGGTGGTGAGGATGGAACGACTATACAGCTAAGCGCGTTGCAACGACTGAATGTGAACTGCACTGACTCGCTTATTCGGTTGCTATCCAGTATTGCTAAAAACCGTTCCAAACAAGACTTTATTGTGGAGAAACGAACACTCGCTGCTGTGGCTGCTGATGGGGAAGCGAAAAAAGAGGATGGACGTGTATGTGTCCTCAACAACCTGGGCGTTCCTATTCGACTCGCCAATCTCAACACGTCACATGCAGGAACACTACATGTGGACGTGCGAGATGGGTGGTCGTTCCCGGGTTACTCGCGGTTTCATAATGTTCGCATATCTGTGGTTCTGTTACCTTGGTGGCACCCACGCGAGGTGCAGCCTGTGGAGAACTTCCGTCATAAGTTCACTCTTCCTTACGGTGGAGCTCAGTCGGGTGTCACGCCAATTTTGAGGGTTGATGTGCTCACGACAGACGAAGGTAAACGCAACTACGTGTTCGATCATGTCACAAATAAGTACGTTGAAGTGGAAGCAGAAGATGACGATGATTTCGTCGACGTACCGTCGGCAGGGAAAATTACACCACCTAACATAAAACAGTACATGAATCGCGAAGACAGCACTAACACAAATGCTTCTCAGCGGATAAGATGGTCTTCGATCGGATCGACAGCGATCAACTTGGCTGGCAATGTCATGACCTCACTTGATCCTGGCCGAATGAAGCTTAATCGATGGTACCGTCTTCATGACTTACGCGGAAATGTCACCGGAGAGATTTTTGTTGGCTTGCACTTTGTGCCAGACATAGACGACCCAGTCACCCATGCCAGAACGAACGAACCCCAGCAAGTAAAAGACGGTCAATTCCTAGTGTTTGATCCCCTGAAGATTGTTAACACAAATGAATCTTCGGACCAGTGCAAGGACCATGTCGTGCTATCTGAAGGCTTGCGTGGGAGCTACATCCCGCCGTTGGCGTTAGAAGTCTTGATTGGTTCATCCCGAATGAGTCTGATGTGCCCGCTGCGTCGTGCTGGAAAGTTTCTCAT